TCCCAGCTTGAAACAGATGGGGTTAGCAGGCCAGGAACTGCCAGAGGACGAAGTGGTGCGGTTGATGTTGCAGGAGCCAAAGCTGGTTCGAAGGCCCATAATGCGAGTTGGTGGAGAGTTGTTCGTCGGTGGAGGGGCTGCAGTGTTGGACTCAGTAGTTTCCGCCGCTGGGGCATGACTCCGGTGCAACGTCGGTCCTTCACATTTGGGACCTTCCTTCAAAGGGGAGCCTTCCAGTGCTCGTGGCCTTTCCGAGCCTGACGGGCCTTCGGAGATAGGCCTGAGATCAACATCAGAGGGGCAAATTTGGGTGGATTTCATCTTTGCCAATCTACATAGAAAGACCGCGGGGATGGCTGAATTGTTTTGGCTAAGCCGCGATGTCAAAGAGACAGCACTCCTGCAGATATAATGCTGAAGCAGTGGCGAGAATGTAATATACTGATCGGGTCACCCATCATTTCCTCCGGCTATTTTTGCCTCTGGCATGGGGAGCCGGAACAATAAGGGCCTGTTACCGCGAATGAAGATTTTCTTTGACGTCGACTATACGATTCTAGGTTTGGACAACAGCCTGCGTCCCCAGACCAAGGAAACATTCCAGGCGCTGTTGGACGAAAACCACCAAATCTACATCTGGTCAGGGATGGGGGAACGGTGGGAGGTAATCGAAAAACATCAATTGGAACCCTACGTGAGTGGCGTATTCGAAAAGCCGACGCACCACTTCCACGAACGGTTGGAGGAACTGGGTGTTCCATTCGAACCGGACTTCGTCATCGACGACTATCCGGAGGTTGTGGCTGCATTTGGAGGAGTGTGGGTCCCACCCTACTTTTTCAAACGCTCTCCCGACAAGGAAATGGAACGTGTCTACCGCATAGCGCAAGACTTTGCAGCCACCGGAACCTCGGAGGACAAGCAATATCGGGCAAAGGGTACGATAGTTCCCCTCTTCTAGCGGTTGCCCATGCCAATTAGGATCCTGCCGCCCGGTCTGGCTGCAATGATCGCCGCAGGCGAAGTTGTCGAACGCCCCGTGTCGGTTGTCAAGGAGCTTCTGGAAAACTCCATTGACTCCGGCGCCTCTCAGATTACGGTTGAGGTCAAGTCCGGCGGCACCGAACTAGTCCGGGTCGTGGACAACGGCCAAGGCATACCCGCCGACGAAGTTCCCATCGCCTTCTACCGGCACGCGACCAGCAAGCTGGCCGATACAGATTCTCTGGACCGCGTGGCGACAATGGGGTTTCGCGGTGAGGCGCTCCCCAGTATTGCCGCAGTATCCCGAATAGTCATCCAAACACGTCCCCATGACGAAACAGCTGGCTTTCGCATGGCCTTGAATTGGGGCGAGGCTGTGGAGTCAGGTAGCGAGGGCTGCGCCGCAGGTACCGCGGTCGAGGTATCCGATCTGTTCGGCAACCAGCCGGCACGCCGAAAATTCCTCCGGTCGCCCCAAGCAGAAACAGCCCGGGTGCAGGAGCTGGTCAGCCGGTATTCTCTCGCCTTCCCAGAGATCCGCTTTCGTCTCGAAAATGATGGGCGTGCATCCCTTACCACACCCGGCAACGGGCAGCCTCGAGAGGCTCTGCTGGCGGTCTACGGGTCGCAGGTTACCAAGGACATGCTGGAGGTCCATGTGGAGGACCCGGAGACGGGTTACTCGGTGGAAGGGTTCGCTGGCGCCCCCAGCGTAAGCCGCGCAAACCGTACCTACCTGACATTCTTCGTCAACCGCCGCCTGATACAAAGTCGAATGTTGTCCTTTGCCGTCGAGGAGGCCTACACCGGCCTGCTCCAAGTCAAGCGATACCCAGTGGCGGCCATCAATGTGGTATTGCCCTACGCTGACGTGGATGTCAACTCGCATCCGGCAAAGCGCGAGGTCCGATTCCATCAGGAAAATCGCGTGTTCTCACTGGCCCAGAGAGCGGTTCGCGCCGCGTTGATGACAGACTCGCCGGTACCCGCTGCTTCGTCCGCTCCAAGCCCGCACCAGTCGTTTCGACCCTTCGCGGGCCCAGGCCGTGGGTCTTCGTCCTCGGGGGCTATGAATGCCCGGTTTGATGCTGACCATCCTCCAAGACAACTACCGGGAGAAGCGTCCGGTGGAGAGGCGCTGTCGCTATTGGGGCGTCCCCAAATACCTCTGAAGGTTGTCGGTCAACTGCAGCTCACCTACATCGTGGCCGAGGGACCCGAGGGAATGTATCTGGTTGACCAGCATGCCGCCCACGAACGGACGCTGTTCGACAGGATTTGCGCCGAGAGGAACCAGAGAGGCCCGGCCACGCAGCCGCTGCTGTCTCCTGTGAACGTGGAACTCACGCCGTCTCACGCCAGCACGCTTCAGGACAACCTGGAGGAAATCACCGAATATGGGTTCCAGGTAGAGCCGTTTGGAGATCGCAGCTACCTGCTGCGGGCCGTGCCGTCTGTTCTGTCCACACAAGACCCGGCAAAGACCCTAATCGACATTCTCGACATGGCTACGCTGGAAGGCCTCACTCGCCAGAAAGAGAACGTGATGGCCGCGTCGATCGCCTGCCATGCGGCGATCCGGGCTGGCCAATCTCTCAGCGAGGCTGAGATGCGTGCCCTGTTGGAACAGCTGGAGGCGACTCCAAACCCCCATACCTGTCCGCACGGTCGCCCGACCATGGTGCATTACAGCTCCTACCACGTTGAGCGGGGGTTTGGCCGGCGCTAGGACAACAGCTGCCAGTAGCGGCGACCCTCGGACCTGACCACTCTGCCAAAGCCACCATGATGGCAGATGGCAATGATGGCGTCTTCTGACTCGGCCCGCTCGATCATTGCGGTCCGGGTGGCAACACCCAAGTCGGGATCCATGTCGAAGCTGAATTTCCAGCCGGTCTCGGTAACCTGGGCCGGGCCGTGGAATACGTCCCCCATGATGTAGGCCCGTTGCCCGCCCGATACGATGGCCAAGCTCATTGAGCCAGGTGTGTGCCCTGGCGTTGAAATGGCGGTGATCTCGCTGGTCAGGGCCCGCTCTCCTTCTAGCAGATCGAGAACCCCCAAGCCCTGCAGGGGTCCGAGTGCCTGATCCCAATGCGGCGGAAACAGCTCCATCACTTCCGGCTGTTGGAATACGTCCCAGTCGGCACGGTGGGCGACGTAGCGCGCGTTGGGAAACGTGGCTCTCGGGCCGGTGCCCGGCTGATGGGTAATGTTCCAACCCACGTGGTCAAAGTGCAGGTGGCTGAAGAAGACGGTGTTGATGTCGCCCGGGCTGACTCCCACGCCCTGCAGTTCCTGAAGGAGACGGCCGTCAACTCCCCCGGCCATTGCTTCGACGGCGTTGGGGTTGCTGACCGCGCCTCCCAGCCCGGTGTCGACCAGTATTGTCTGGCCCTCGGAGCGGATGAGGTAGCATTCGAAGTGGGCCAGCAGGTGTTCCGATCCGCTGAAGCCGCTGGGATACCTTTCCTGGTATGGCGGCCAGGCGTCGGCGGGCACTTCAGGGAAAACGTCGCTGAGCGGCAGGGTGGCCTCATTGTCGTTGAGGGAGAGGATTTCCACGTTGCCGACGGTCAATCTGGCTTCAGGCATACTTGGTCCTCCCAAAGGTCGTCTTCAACAGCAATGGCCCGCCGTAAGGGTCGGGCCATTGTTCGTTGTCAGCTGGGTGCCGGGGTCAGGTGTGATTCGTGCGACGGGGGTCCTGCCTGGGGTCGACTGCTGGATGGAAGATCGAGTCATCGCCATGAAATTCCTGGTTGGCAACGGCCGGTTGATGTGTATTATGTGGTTGTGTTGCTTGTGTGTTGTTTTGTGTGTGTTTGTTTGTTGTGGGTTTGTTTTTGCTGTTTGGGTTGTGTGTGTGTTGTGTTTGTTTTTTGTGTTGGTTTGTTGTGCTGGTGGTTGTGTTTTGTGGTGTTTGTTGTTTGTGTTTTGTGGGTTGGTTCGTGGTTGTGGTTGTTTTGTTTTGTGTTTCTGTTTGTGTTTGTTTGTTGGTTTTTTGTGTTTGTTTGTTTTTGGGTTTGGGTGTGTTGTGGTTTTTTGTTTGTTGTTGTTTTTTTGTGTTGGTTCTGTGGGCTTGTGGGTGTGTTGTTTGTGTTTTTTTTGTTTGTTTGGTTTGGTGTTTGTTGTTTGTTTTATTTTTTTTTTGGTTGGTTTTGTTTTGGGTTGTTTGTGTGTTGTTTTTTTGGTTGTGTTTGGTTTCTTTTGTTTGGTGTTTTTGTTTGCTTTGTGTTGTTTGTTGTGGTTGTTTTGTTGGTTTTGTTATTTGGTTTTGTATGTTTGGGTTTTGTTTTGGTGTGTGGGGGTGTTGTTGTTTTTGGTGTTTGTTTGTGTTTTTGGTTTGTGGTGTTGTGTTTTTGTTTTTTGTTTTGTGTTTTTGTTGTTTTTGGTTGTTTTTGTTGGGTTTGTTTTTTTTGTTTTGAGTTTTTTGTTTTGTTGTTGGTTTTGGTTGGTTTTTTTTTGTTTTGTGTTTTGGTTTTGGTGTTGTTCTTTGGTTTGTGTTTTTTTTTGTGTTTTTTGTGTTGTTGTGTTGTTTTTGTTTTTTTGTGTGTTGTGTGTTGGTTGTTTTGTGTGTTGTTTGGTTGTTGGGTTTTGGGTTTTTGGTTTTTTTGGTTTTTTGTTTGTCTTGGTTTGTTTTGTTATTTGTTTTTTGTTTTGTTTTTTTTTTTTTATTTTGTTTCTTGTGGGTTTGTTTTTTTGTTTGGTGTTTTGGTTTTGTGGTTGGTTTTGGTGTTGGTTTGTTTTGTGTTGTTGGTTCTGTTGTTAGTTGTTTGTTTTTTGTTTTTTGTTGGGTTTGGTGTGTTGTTTTGTTTGTTGTTTGTGTTGGTGTGTTTTGTGTGTGGTTGGGTTTGTGTGGTTTGTTTTTTGTTGTGTTTCGAACCCACGCCTCGTATCGCCGAAAGCGGTCCAGCCACCAAGGCAAGGGCTGCCGCTCCAATGCCGAGCTTGGCCAGGAAGCTACGACGGGATTCCATGGGCTTCCGGTCTTTCTGGTCTGGTGAGTCAAGCTGGGATGGCACGCTTTTCTCCTGCCCGCTGCCGGGCATCGTGATCTGATTGCTTAGAATTGTACCCCACCGGAAGACATTTGCAACATCCATCGCCACTCCGGTTAGCGGTTTTCTTCCAGGTGGTGGAGTATCGACTTGTCCCAGGATGACGTCACCGGTGTGCTTCGCCTCGGGCAGCCGGATTCTCTATCGTAGAGTGTCTCAATACGAGATGGCACCAGACATTGCACCCACCACAGGGCAATCGCGTCTTATTACTCAGCACACAGAATTAGTCTGATGGCGGTGGAGATGGGAGTGGCAGTGCCTCCTTCGGTTGCGGGTGCGAGGGTAGACGGGGGTTTGGATTCCCGCCTGCGCGGGAATGACGACTCATAGGGCCTCCGGAGTTCAAGGCGCCATTGCCCCGATGTCACCCCCCTGTATTCCCTGACATTCCGTGACATTCTCTGACATTTTTCCTGTGAGCGTGGCCTCGGGAGGACTTTTGGGCAGGGCAATTGCGTCTTATTTCTCAGCACACAAAATTGGTCTGGATGGCTGTGGAGATGGGAGTGGCAGTGCCTCCTTCGGTTGCGGGTGCGAGGGTAGACGGGGGTTTGGATTCCCGCCTGCGCGGGAATGACGACTTATAGGGCCTCCGGCGTTTAAGACGCGATTGCCCTGGCACACCCCAGGAAAGTGTGCAATTGTGTGCAGTTTTCTACGAACCTGAGTCTCAATAAGGGAACTCGCCATTCGCGCATAGCACCCTGAGGGGAGATGCTCTGATAGCGGTTGCCGATATGAAATTTTCTATTATTCCGCTCAATTCCGTTCATTTCCGCTCACTTCGAGTGATATTTGCGGAATCTGCGGGGAGGTGGAGGTCTTAGCCAAAGCATTATAGTACATGTGTTTGATTATATGGGAGCGCCGTGGGATTTTCAAGGGAAGTGCTCCAAGAGGAATGCGTTCCGAATCAGCTGGTCAAGCCACTTTCCAAACAGCAAGTAACGGGGGCCTGGATTCCCGCTTTCGATGGAATGACGGCTGCGCCGGCGGGCGAATACAAAATTTGCGGCCGCATCGTTCCAAAAGAAATGCGATCGCGGGTTCCCGGACTGCGCTACCCCGCTTCGTCCATTACCATCTGCGCCACCTGGCGGCCCATTCGGATGGAATAGTTCGTGCCGCGGTCCTCGGGGAAAATCTGCGTTGTGTTAGCAAGATAGAGCCCGCGAACCGGCGTCTGGTGGGACGGGATGCGCTGGCTGTAGTTCCTGCTGATGATGGGCTGGGCACCGTCGACACGATGATGGTGAATATTCTGCACCCACGAGCGGTCGAAGTCGGGGTTGAGCTTGCGCAGATGGGGGACGAACAACTCCAGCAAGTCCCCAGGCTCCATATGGTACAAATCGCTGTTGCGGTCGGGGTAGTTGCTGATGTAAATGACGTGGCTGCCTCCGTACAGGGACTTGTCGATCATGTTGGTGTGCTCAATGATGCCAACGAAGGGCATATCGACGTCGGCGATATTTATCCAGTACTTGTCGGTCAAGGGGCGGTCCAACTCTAGTATCAAGAGGACCGCTGACAAGTAGCTCACGCCGGTCAGAAGCTCCTGGTACTCATCCGGCATCGGCGGCACCAATTGAGTGAAGACGTACGAGGGCGTGGTGGCAAGAATGGCGTCGTAGTCCCTGCATTCAGGCTCAGCCTCCCTGCCAAGCTGAATTTCAAGGCCGGTCGCCCTGTCGTTCTCGATCAGCACACGACTGACTCGTGCGGAGGTATGAACGTCGCCTCCCTGGGCACCAATCCGGTCAGCGAGAACCTCGATCACCTCGCCGAAGCTTCCCATCGGATATCCCAGGCGCTCCTTCTGCATTGCCTTCCCGCGGGATGCCACGCGCAGGCGCACCTTGCCCCAAAGCCAAGTCATGCTCACCTGGTCGTAGTGGTCGCCGAACTTTCCCCTCAGTAGAGGCTCGAAGAGCACCTCGTAGGCCTTGCGTCCCATGTGCTGCGACAGCCAGTCCTTTGCGGTGATGTCCTCGAATCGGCCATAGTCAGCAATTCGCTGCAACCGCAGCGTCCAGAGGCCTACGCGGAAACGCTGCCACAGCGACAGCGGCTTGAATCGCAGGAGGTCCAGGGGAGTTGCGAAGTCCCAGATCCTGCCGTCGTGGTACAGCCCCACCTTGGACTCAAGCCAAGCCAGCTGGTCGCCGAGGCCCAGTTCATGGATCAACTCGGTGATGGCTGTGTCGCTGACGAAAAGGTGGTGATAGCCGCGTTCCAGTTGGCCGCCCCCCACTGGGAAGGTGGAGGGCCTGTCCTCCGAGGAAAGGGGCAACTTCGAACACCTCGGCGTAATGCCCCTGCTTGGTCAGGTCGTAGGCGGCCGCCAAGCCGGCGACCCCTCCCCCTATAATTCCCACCCTCACTAGCCACCTCCCGCCGGGGATGAATTGGCGGCAGGACTTCCCTCCGACGGATCAGAAGCGGACTGGTCGCCTGGTTCAGTGTCGGGAGCGCTGGTCAGTTGCCGCAGGTTGAGGTTCTGCTTCCAGAGGATAGCCAGGCCAACGACATTTACCGGCAGCCACAGGGCCACCAGGTGCACTACCAGCGCGTAGTCCACTGCCACACCGACTCCTACCCCCAGGGCGACGAGGGTCTGCTGGGCGACGACCTCGAAAGGACCAATACCGCCTATGGCGCTGGGTATGCCGGTGGCCAGATTCGAGGTGGCGGTGAGTAGCGCTACGGCCAGCAAATAGACGCCCGCCGATTCGAAGTGGGAGCCCAAATCGAAGGAATAGGACACCAGCAGATAAACGAGGAATTCACAAAACCAGATGGGTGCCGACAATGCCACCAGCGCCAGGTGCTTGCGCGGCGAATTCAGGATGGCGAGCGCGGAAACAAACGACGCGAAGAATCTCAGACCCACAACCCCGAGCTTGCCCGGCAGAAACGCCAGCATCCGCTCCACCACGCCGGAAAATCCTTTCCAGGTGGCGAGCAGCGTGAACACCACTAGGAATCCACCAAAAATTATGACGACCGCGACTGCCAAGGCTATTGCGGTGGTCTGAGAAACTCCTGCCGTCCAGTCAAATTCACCCAGGAGCAGGAGCCAGGGAGCGGTAACAGCGACCAGGGCAATCAGCGTCAGCCCGTCGAACACCGCTCAACCGCAACACTGCCCAATGCGGAGCTGGCGCTGAAGTTCTCCTGCCGTGCCAGGTAGTAGGAGCGGACCACCTCTCCAAGCCGCATTGGTAGCAGATTGTTGGCGGCATAACCGATCACCACCACGGGGTACAGCCGCTTCACCGGGAAACGCCGCAACGGGCTCAGCAGGTACTGCCACCGCAGGGCACGAAAGTAGACCCCGATGAAATAGACTGCGACCGCCGGAATCAGATACAGAGTAGTTGGCCCCGGCCAACTCGTCAATCAGACCGGACGGGTCATCGATGCGGTATACCTGGAAGGCAAGGAACAGCAGCAGCACTACGCTTACTGCGATGCCGAACCAGATGTGCCATCTGGCGGTGATCAAATGGTTTCCTTCAGTGCGATGGACACAAACGGGATTCGTTAGTGCCCGTTCTAAAATCGTCGGACGCTCAGTATATGACTTCCGTTATGTTGCCTCAAGGCAAATATGTATAGTATTCCGACTGATACCAGGGTGAGTCCAGGCGGCGGTGGATAACATAATCAAGGGCCTCCGCCCATTTCGCCCGGTTGGAAACCGCATCTCGGAAGAAGCCGAAGTCATTGGCAAGCTGGATGTGCATTGGTTCTTCCTCCCGGTTCTCGTCCGGCCGGCGATAAGTTTCCGGGAACCAGAGGAGCTCCTTGAACGGACCCTGGCGGCGGTAGCGGGTCTGCACGTCGCCGTCGTCGCCGACGTGGTCGGCCTTGACCAGGAGGCTGGCCACGTTTCCAAAATCGTAGGTGCCGTCGTCAAGGAGACTGCCCGACAAGACTATGCAACCCGAGTTTTCCTCTTCCTCAAGCTCAAAACACTGGAAATTCAGCCTGCCGTCGACCGCGTGGTCCCGGACATACCACTGGAGGGGATACCAAACGTCGTAGTCGACCTTCACCGGCTGGACTCCGTCGGAAAGAGGATAAACCTCCCGCTCCAGGGTGCGGTAGGTTTCCCGGACGTCTGCGGAACCTTGAGCGTAGACCATCACCTCGACGTTTGAATCGTCGTGCGTATATGCGGCCCGGAATGCTCCCCATGTGCCGAAAACCAGCAGCAGCGTGGCCAAGCCCAACAGCGCCGCCGGGGCTGCGCGTTCCATTCCAGTGAGCCGGTAGATGAGCGCGGCAACGAACGCAGAGGACACGGCCGACGCGAGCAGCAGCCAGTGCTCGATGGTAAATGGCCTGGCGGGATCGACTAACTGGAGGAAGAGGTAAACGGAGATCACGACTATTACAGGCGAGATCACGAAGGCGACCATCGTCCCCATGTCGAAGGATGGGCTGCCCGACTTCCCCAAGAACGAACGCCACTCAAGCCGACCGGACACCTCGCCCAAATATTTGGCGGACACGAGGATGAACGGGGTGGTGATGTTGACCAGCAGCCATGGCATCTTTTCGGCGGCCACGGTGTATGCGGCCAAGGAAAGCACGGCCCACAGTGCCAGGGCGAGACCGAGCGCATCCTGTCGTCTGAAAAAATAGATGACTGCAACCACGGCGAACACCAGCGGGAGAAGCTCGTACACGGACAGGCCGACGAAGTAGTAGTACCAGGGCTGGTTTCCCCGCGCCACGTCCTGCTGGGCTATCCAATAGCCCATTCCCTGCCAGAAACCAGTAAAGATTCCCGACAGGTTGGTGTACAACGTCGTGTATAGCGCAGACCAGATGAGGTAGAAGATGGCGGCGCATATCAGCCATCCCCGGCCGAGCCACCAGATTCCAAGAGCCGCCGACCCGATCAGGGCACCCAACAACGCTGCCACCGCGACGACGAAGTTCAGAGGGACTCCTGCGTCGATGGTGCCGACCGTGACGTTTCCGGGCAGCACGGAATTCACCACACCCTGCACATCCAGCACGGGCGTGAACAGGAGAGAGTAGAGGGTGACCGCCGCAGCCGGGATGAGAACGAGCAGGATCGCGCGACCCATGGAGAATCGGCTCCAGAACAGGAAGCCGGTCGCAACTGCCAGGGCAGCAATGAAGATGGCCCAGTCTGCCGCTGCCAGCAGACCATTCTCAGGATCCACCCCGGAATAGGGGCGGAAGAGAATCCATGCGAAGGCGAATGCGCTCATCAGAGGGGCGCCAGCCAATCCAGCCACCCTTTCCGAATTCATGGAGCCCCGACTGAGCATCCACGATATTGCGGCCATTCCGGCAACGGCGAACGCGGCGTGGAAAACCCACGGAACGTCGGCGACCGGCAAAAGCAGGATGCTGCCCTGCCAGGCCGGGGCGCCTGTCATGCCCGCTGAGCCGTCAATATTGGCGACGTTGTGGCCTGTGAGAGGGTCGGGGTTGGCCAGGGTCAGGCCGAGTATCCCCTGGAAAAGTGCGACGATGGCGGACCATTGTGGCAGAGTGATGGTAAACAGCAGCAGGAAAAGCGCGGTGGCAGTGCCCTCTTTCGTGAGCTCGGCCTGCCTGCGCACCCAGGGCAGCACCTCGGGCAGCGCGGCGAGGAAAAGAATCAAGCCGAAGACGGCAACGAGAAGATAGGCCGTTTCCTTGGTGGCGAACATCAGGGCTAGGAGCCCTGAGCCAAGGTACAGATGGATTCTCCGGCCACCGTGCAGGTAGCGCCACATAAGGGTGAACAGGGCGACAGCCCAGAACATCATGATGATGTCGTTGCGGCCGAACCGGCTGAAGTATAGGAGGGTCGGCGAGAGGGCAAGCATTACGGCTGCAATCAACGCACCGCGCCGCCCGATGTGGTCGCGCAGGAAGAAGGGCAGGCCTACCAGGGCGGTTCCAAACAGAGCGTAGCCGAGTCGTGAAGTGAAGTCGGAATCGCCCAGGATTGTAAAGATGACCGCCGTCATCTCTATCTGGAAGGAACCGTGCATCCAGGCGGAATGGAAGTAGTCGGTGCCGAAAATCCAGGGCCATCCGAGGAGTGCTCCGGCACTGTTGGCCAGCTTCCAGCCGTAGTGCAGGTGGATGGCCTCGTCGTAGTGCATGGGCCGTCCGCTGAGTTCGAACAACCTGAGGCCCAGTGCGCCGAGCACTACCGCTAGGAACGCCGCCTCGTACCAGCCCCAACGCCGAAGGAAGGCGGGAACATGAGCGGCATCTTCTTGGACAGGTGCCGGCGGCTCCATTTCGGCGGCATCGTCCGCCACTATAGGATGTTCGAGTTCTGATTCGGTCATAAGTCAGGGTTGTTCGAAACTTCGTACACTGTTACGTCATCATGATGGAAAACGGTTTCCAAGAAATCGAGATAGTGGGGCAGCGATGAAACTCCGTAACGCTCCAACTCTCTGCTGCCCAAGTAAACGTAACGCACACCGTAGCTGTCCAGCAACCGTTGCGCTTCCTCAGGGTCTCGACCCGTGTAGATGGCCGCAACGTCTTCTGCGCGCCCGGCGAATGGCTCCGAGGAGCCGCGCCACTGCAGCTCGTGGCCTGGCCATCCCAGCACTGTCGGCAATCCGGTGCTGGCCGAGATGTTGCCGTACTGGCTGTAGTCGTCGCCCACGGCCTCCAGGATTGTTCCGGGGCGAGCCTCATCCCGGAGCCACGAAATGGCAGCATATTCCCCAGGTGCCGACGCCTTCAGGTAGGCCAGGCCGTCCAGCGTCCGACCCTCGGGTGGTGTCCCGTACGCACCGCTGCGGTCCAGCGTTGCGCCTACGGTGTAGTAGAGAGCAGCGGCCACGAGGATCGCCAGTGCAACGCCGCCTCCGATTCGGCCCCCGACGGCTGCGTAATAGCGCCATCGGGAGGGCTCCAGCAGGGTGAGTCGGCCGGACCACAGGCTGTAAATTGCGAAGGTGGCGGCCAGCCCAAGCAGCAGCCAAGCCTGGTAGTAGACCTTGAACACGGTGTTCATGCGGCGCCACGGCCCGCTGAATGAATCCACGATGTGGAAGAGCTCGGCGATCATAATCAGGAAGAAGGCCAGCGCCACGAGCAGGAGCACGAAGGGGGTAGCCGAATCGTTTCCCCTTCGTGCCAGAAGGGTTGCCAGGTAGGCTGCGATTCCCACCACGATGGCTCCTGGTCCTGCCAGGACAAGCCTGCGCCCGAGGTCATCGAACGCAACACCAGGGCCGCCTGTGGCGATGCTGAACAGGAAAGCCGTTGCCATCCAGATGCCCAACGGAACAAGCGCGACCAGAAGGGCTACCACGACCAGCGGAGCATCGGCAGGATTGTAACGGCAGAACCTGATGGCCTTTTGGGCCCACAATGCCAGAGCCGGAAGCGCAAAAATGCCCATGACGAGGAAAAGATGGAACGGCCGCGTTGCTACATCACGAAGGGGCAGAACACCCGAAGTCTGACCGCTGAAGACCAGATAGATGGGTCCAAACAATGCCACGGACAGCAGGAATAGCGGTAGAAAGACCGACGCCGCCGAATTCGCCGCCTGCAGCAGTGATCCGGGATAGTCCCGACAGCCCTTTAGAAGGATAGCGACCGCCAACAGGGCCACGAAAGTGGCGAAGTCCCAGAAATTTATGAAAGCCAGCGCTCCGCCAAACAGCGCCACCGCCCCGGCCTGAGCAGGATAATGCCGAAACCAGGCCAGTTCCAGTTTTCGGTCAGTGCGGTACACGTTCAGCGCTGCAGCGATGGCGAGCAGCAGAAATGGGATGGCGAGGACGTGAGCGTGCAGGTCTCCCAGGATGAAGCTGAACGCCGGGAATTCGGTGATGGTGTAATCGAGCACCCCAGCATCGCCAAATGTGCCTATGACCCGGGTGCGCGAAACCACCACCAGAAATCGCCGGGGAAGGTCCCCCCGACCGAGCCCGCGGCATCCAGGCCTTCGACGGCAACCCAGTCCCAGAACCCCGGGCCTGCCCAGCCCTGGACTCGGACAAATTCCAGGGCCCCGACCAGATTGCCGGCCAGGAGGATCACCACCGGTGCGGCAATGCCGGTACCCAACGCCCAGCGCGTGCCCCCTCCCGCCAGTCGCACAAGGTTGTAAAGCAGCCCGAAGCAGACCGCCCCTGCCAGCGCGGGTACAGTGGCGATGCCCAAGTTGTAGGCAACCGACGTCACCACCCCGGCCATCTTCGTGAGGGTTGCCATGATGATGTGGCCGAAGTAGTAATAGCTTATGGAATGACCGGAGAGCCATGGATCCTCGGCCGGGAAGAAACGGGTCTCGTGTGCCGCATTGAGCAGCATGAAGTCCATCGGCTTTTCGGTGTGAGTAATGGAGGGGGAGCCGGACACTACCAGCGCCCAGGCGACGAACATGCACAGGAAGATCAGCTCGGCAGCAAGCAGGACAGGCCAGTGCCGTTGCAGGAAGTCCCGAAGCTCATCCCAGTACCGGCCAGCCATCCAGATTGAAGCGGCGGCAAAGCACAATACGATGACCCAGATAGTCAGCTGGGTGTTGGGAAGTAGATGGGTCAGTCCCAGTACCCACACGAGGTATGAGAGCACCAGCAGGGCAGTGGGCTTTACCAGGGTGATGCCGCGGTCGGGGAGGAACCGGAATAGGCGATAGGCCCAGGGGAGCGCAACCGCACCCAGCAACTCCAGCGTCAGGAACCACAATAAGGCGTCGGCCATTGGTCACACGGAAAGGCGGTGAGGGAGAGAAAGAACGGGGACTTATACCGGCGCGAGGAGAGCGTCAACGAAGTCTTCGGCGTCAAAGGGAGCCATATCTCCCATCCCTTCGCCAGTGCCGATAAACAGGATTGGTACCTGCAGCTCCTGGCGAATTGCCAGTACAATGCCGCCCCGCGCCGTACCATCAAGCTTGGCAAGAAAGATACCGGTGCAGTTAACGGCCTCATTGAAGGACTTGGCCTGAACCAACCCATTATGGCCGGTCGTGGCGTCCAGGGTAAGAATCACTTCGTGAGGGGCGGAGGTGTCCTGGCGATTCAGAACGCGGTGAATCTTTCGCAACTCTTCCATCAAGTTCGACTTGGTGTGGAGACGTCCGGCGGTGTCGATGATGAGGACGTCGGCTCCGCGCGCCTTGCTTGCCTGATAGGCATCGTATGCCACGGCTCCCGGGTCGGCGCCTGCAGCGTGCCGGATGACGTCCACGCCCACGCGCTCCCCCAGGATTTCGAGTTGCTCGGCTGCGGCGGCGCGGAAGGTGTCGGCGGCTCCGATAACGACCCGTTTGCCGGACTCCGAAAAGTGATGTGCCAGCTTGCCGATGCTGGTGGTTTTTCCTACACCGTTCACACCCACCATCAGGATCACGTACGGCTTGGATGCCCCGTCGTCGCTGGGCAATAGCCCCTCGAAATCTCCCGAAAGGTCTTGGGTCAACGCCTGCTTCAATGCGTCCGTGACTGCGTCGGGAGAATCGAGCTGCCCGGCCTTCACCCGTTCCCTGAGTTGTTCGATGATCCTTAGAGAGGTTTCGACGCCAACGTCCGATGAGATCAAGATTTCTTCGATTTCATCCCAGACAGCGTCGTCGAGGCGCGGAGAACGCAGCAATCCCACTATGCGGCCGAACCAGCGATCGCGGCTGGGTTTGACAGCCTGCTCAGTGGCCTGCCTTTCTTCCTGGCGATTGCGCCGAAATAGTCGAAGCATTTCTGAATTCGTCTAGCCTTTTCTGGTCAGTCTGAGCCGATTCAGGATACCGCCCCTGGCGACGCGAGAGCAATCTGCGGGACGGTTCTCGACTTCAGTGTTCGGTTTGCTTGGAGAATTCCCAGTGCAGTTGGATTCTTGTGCCAAAGAACAGCTGCCGGAGAGGATGTTCTCCAAGGCTTCCTTTGCAGCCGCATGCTCCGCTTCCGACTTTCGGCCTCCCTCGCCGATGCCGAGTATTTGTTCTCCCACCAATGCCTCGACGCTGAAGACGGGACTGTGGTCCGGTCCTTCCCGGCCTATCAGGCGATAGGAGGGAGTCGGGTGGCCCCGACCTTGCAGCAGTTCCTGCAGCCGGGACTTGGGGTTTTCAGGCGGTGCGCCACTCCGGCCGATGTCGGCCAATTCCGGGGCTAAATGGCGGTCCACAAACTGACGAGCGGTCTCCATTCCCTGGTCGAGGTATACGGCGGCTATAACCGCTTCAAGCGCAGCGGCCAGCACCGACTCCTGATCTCTCCCGCCGGAGGACTCTACGCCGTGGCCCACCAGTAGCATCTCGCCCAACCCCAGCCGGCGCGCCACTCCCGCCAGAACTTTCCCCCTCACCACTGAGGAGCGGGATTTGGTGAGTTGCCCTTCGTCGGCCTCGGGAAACTGAACGTAAAGGCTGTCGGAGACGATCAGTTCCAAGACCGCATCCCCGAGGAATTCGAGCCGCTCGTAGGAGTCTGAGGCGTCCATCCCGTGTTCATTGCAGTAGGAACGATGAACCAGGGCGCGCTCAAAAAGGCTGGGGTCCCTAAATTGGAACCCCAGCATAGACGCAAAGTTGCGGCCACGACCGTCCTTGGACGGGCTCATGGGAAACCTAGATGACGCCATGGGGCCACGGCGGCTGCGGGCGCTTGAATTCGCCAACGTGGACGAACTCGCTCATCGACTTCATCAGGTTGTCGTAAATCTCCACCGACTGCTCTTCCGGCGGAATGAACATCTTGAGGAAGGCGAAGTTGCCGTTGTCGAAGACGAATGTCGGAACGCCGAAGGCGCCGTATTCTTCCACTGCCTTGGTGTGGCTGTCAGCCAACTCGCGCAGCAGATCGGGGTCGGCGATGTCCTCGCGGAAGCGGGCCATGTCGATGCCGGCGGCATCGCCTGCAGCGTCAATGACCGCGCGGTCGTTGAGATCGGCCTTGTCCTCGTGCCGGGCCTTGAGCAGGGCCATGAAATAGGCCTCGAAGGCTTCTTTGCCCTGTCGCTTGACTGCCAAACCGGCCTGGTGAGCCAAGAGAACTGGATCGTCGCCTTTTACGACATTAGGCCTCTCCCAGACGTTGTCGCCGTCCTTGTTGTTGATCTGCGACAGGGAGAAGGGCTGCCAGTCAATCTCGATCGGGCTTCCGGTCAGTTCCCGGACCTTTGCCAACCACATGTTGGCATTGTAAACGAAGGGTCAACGAAAATCGTAATAAGTGGTGAATTCAGCCTCGGCCATTTTATGCCTCCCGCTGCTGTTTGTGGCCCAATTCTACTCTGATGGTAAGGGCCAACTTGAATAGAATTGTAGCCACGCGCTCTTGGGTTGTCAAAGCGCAAACTACATAAACTCGCAGAGTGTGAGGTCCAGGGGCAACCGTGTTTTGATGACACTTGCTCATTGCCAAGCCCAATGACAACCTTCTAGCATTAACCCTGTCCCTGATCCCCCAAATACGCTCAGGGCAATCGCGTCTTATTTGTCAGCACACAAAATTGGTCTGAATGGCGGTGGAGATGGGAGTGGGGTTCCTCCTTCAGTTCCTAGTGCGAGGGTAGACGGGGGGTTGGATTCCTGCAGGCGCGGGAATGACGACTTATAGGGTCTTTCGGCGTTTAACACGCGATTGCCCTGTCGATGCAGGGCTGTCGCCACTGGCTGGAGAGATTTCGTGGCGGCACAGGAATCGAGTACGGCTATCCGAGAGCGTGGGACTCGCGGAAGGCAATTCGATGTCTCCACGGGACAGAATTTTCCCACTGCTGTCCCATTTTGTCCCAAATTGTCCCAAATTCGCGTTCCCCCGTAGCTGAAGTTTCCCCAAATTGGACAAAAATCGCGATTCCCGTCCCATATTGTCCCATTCTGTCCCACCCGGTCTTTCCCCCCTGTTTTTGGAGCACATACGGGCAGGGCCTTCGTCCAAAAACCACCTCTGCTCCAAGTCTTGCGAACGTTATTTACGAACATATATACGTAATAATAATACAACGGCGCCGCAGAGGCTGGCAAGGGAGAAGACTCACTCGGCAGGGCAATCGCGTCTTATTTGTCAGCACACAAAATTGGTCTAATGTCGGTGGATATGGGAGCGGGAGTGGCAGTGCCTCCTTCGGTTCCGGGTGCGAGGGTAGACGGTGGTTTGGATTCCCGCCCCCGCTTCCGCGAGGGTGACGTTCTTTGGCGGGAAAGACGACTTATTGGGCCTCCTTCGTTTAAGACGCGATTGCCCTGCACATCCGCCTCTCCCGGTACCTCGGCGGCAATACCAAACCGCCATGACTCTGCCTATGGCGATGAAGCACCACGGCAGAGCTGGATTCTGGTCAAACGCGACTTCTCTTTATTTGGCTCTCTTGGATGCCGGGGCAGCGACGGTGCTGTGATATAATTTCACTCCCGGTTTTCACCAACGAATTACCACCCTCAACCCGCGCATGTTCACTAGACGGAGGCTCTGCGACTTTGCCTCTCGCCAGCCGTTCCCACAGCTTGACCTCACTTATTGCAGGGTTGGACGATGGACACCGTAGGGCCTTGGAAATGGTGCGTCGATTGGCCCTTAAGGCGAATTTGCCAGTCTTTCTCGTGGGTGGACCCGTACGCGATTTCCTGCTGGGGACGCCTGTTGTTGATCTGGACTTTTGCATTGAGGGCGATGCGGTCGACTTCGGGAAGCGGCTTGCGAGCGAGACCGGAGGGGGCGTAACGGCTCACTCTCGGTTCGGGACGGCCACAGTGCTGTTTGATGGGACTCGCTTGGACCTGGTCACCGCCAGGTGCGAAACCTACTCCCGGCCGGGGCAGTTGCCCGAGGTATCTTGGAGCAGCATATCCGACGATCTGAGGCGGCGGGATTTCACGGTCAACGCAATGGCCCTCCCCATTGCGCCCACCGAAGGCTCGCTGCTAGATCCCTTGGGCGGGTTGGATGACCTTAGGACAGGATTCATTCGAATTCTGCATTCCCGCAGCTTCGAAGACGACCCCACCAGGATGTTTCGAGCGCTCCGATACGAGCAGCGGTTCGGCTTTCAGATTGAAGACAGCACAATGGAATGCCTGGTGTCCGCCATTTCGGCCAGCCATATGAACGCTGTAAGCGGCGACCGGTGGCGACACGAGATCGAAAGAATTCTGGAAGAGTCCGACCCAGGCCACATACTCTTGCGAGCGTCTGAAGTCGGCCTCCTGCCCGCACTGCACCCCGCGCTGTCAAAGAACGATGGGCTGAAGGCATTTTCGGACAGCGCTGGTGAAGATTTCCACCCCGACGAGTGGCTGGCGGCACTGTTCGACCCGCTTACCGTAGATGAGGGCGAGAGCGTCATTGGCCGGCTTCGACTGTCGGGGCAGCGTGCCGAATTGGCCCGTGATACCATTGCTCTCCGGGAGCTAGAACCACGCATCCGCTCGGCCTCCGGCAGACCTGCCGAGCTTTTCAGGTTGCTATCTGGTTTTCATCCTGCCGCAGTCGCCTACAAGGCAAAAGTTTCTCGGGATCAAATTGTCGCCTCGGGACTTCGGCGATATCTCCTGGAGCTTCAGTTCACGCGGCCCGTTCTCACCGGGGGCCAACTGTTGGAGATCGGCGTTCCGCAGGGGCCAGTGGTTGGAGAAATTCTCACCCAACTCCGAGATGCCAGGCTGGATGGCATCGTATCCGGTGAAGAAGAGGAGCGAGCTCTGGTGCGGGAATTGTTGGACCGCAATCTGGAGAGGGCTGCTAAGTAAAAACCATGGCAGAGCAACCAGTAGAAGAGAGCGAAATGGAATCCTGCGTTATCTGCGACGAGGCGTTGGATGGATTCAACGAGACCTCCTGCCAGATGTGTGGGGGCAAGTTCACCAGCCTTGGAGCCAGGACTCGCAGACTCCGCAGTGCGGGCGCATAGGCAGTCACGAGGACGCACTCGCGATTGTTTTCCTCTGCGATGACTGTTTCTACGGGCGGAGGCCCTGACCACTCTTCCAAACAAGATCTCTCAAGATTGCTTTCTTTGACGAAACGAGAGGAGACCACAGATGCAAGCGGTGTACATAGACGCGCATGGCGGCCCGGAGGTTCTGACTTTCGGAGAACGCCCGGAGCCGGAGGCGGCAGCTGGCCAGATCAAGGTCCGAGTGCGGGCAACGGCCCTGAACCGCTTGGACCTCTACACCAGGGCAGGCGAGAGGGGCCTGGAGCGTCAGTTTCCTCCGCCACTGATTCTTGGTGGGGACTGCGCCGGTGAAGTGGCAGCGGTCGGCGCTGGCGTCTCGGGGTTGAAGGATGGAGACCGGGTGGTAATCAACCCGCGCCTTTCCTGTCAACAATGCCAGGCCTGCCTGTCGGGACAGGATGACCTGTGCCGTCGGTCGCAGTTCCTGGGCAGCGCTTTGGACGGCAGCTACGCCGAATACCTCATTGTTCCGGCAGCTAACGCCCACGTCATATCGGACGGTGTGAGCTTCGAGCAGGGGGCCGCCATTCCGACTACCTACCTCCCCGTGTGGAATATGCTGGTTCGCAGACTGCAGCTCAAGCCCTGGCAGACAGTGCTCGTCCTGTCCGCGTCGGCTGGCGTGGGTACTGCCGCCATCCAGATGGCGAAGGACGTTATTGGGGCGCGGGTGATCGCCACCACGAGCACCGCCGAAAAGGCGGCCAAGGCTCGGGATTTGGGTGCTGACGAGGTCATCAACTACACTGAGGAAGACATCCGGGGACGCGTGCGCGAGATCACCGGCGGGGCCGGAGTGGACGCTGTTGTCGACCATGTGGGAGGCGACTTCTTTGGCCCGGCCTTTGCATCCCTTCGTCCCGGTGGACGTTACGGCATTTGCGGCGCAACAACCGGGCTGCGAGCGGAGTTGCATCTCGGACTGTTGTTCAGCCAGCAGAAAGAGGTTTACGGCGTGTACATGGGCACGAAGGAAGACATGCGCCAGATCGTGGAGATGCTCAACCGGGGTGCCGTCCGGCCAGTGGTAGACCGCGCGTTCCCACTGTCGGATGCAGCCGCTGCCCATCAGGCCATGGAGGCGACCAGCTTTTTCGGGAAGCTCCTGCTGACTCAGAACTGATAGCTTGAGAGGGCGCCGGGCGTGTTTGTGTGGAGGCTGGTGTGGTGGATTGTTCGAGCTATCTTTGCGCCGGCGAGACGCAGGCAGCAGGGATTCCACCCGGGACGCCCTTTTCCTGTGGAGGTGTCTTCGGTCCAGGACGGCGACTCGCTTCTTGTAAAGGGCCGCGATTCCCGAGACGAACTAAGGCTCAGGCTCTACGCGATTGACGCTCCAGAGCTGGACCAGGAATATGGGCGGGAGGCCAGGGAATACCTGGGCAGGCTGGTAAGGAGACGGACTGATCTCCTCCTCGAACCTGTGGACACCGACCGGTATGGCAGACTGGTCGGTGTTTTGTATCACCGTGCCGCCGGCAGGCAGCATTCAGTCAACCGGCTGATGGTGGAGCAGGGTCTCGCCCGATGGTACAGCCAGTACGGCGGCGGGGACTTGGGACTTGAGCACGCCGAGGCGGAGGCCCAACGACGACGCCGAGGACTCTGGGCGAACCGCCGTGCGGTTGCGCCCTGGGACCACCGCAGACAGCAGCGCCAGAGGGCCGGGGGAGGCAGTCTCTTCCGGACGTTGCTGTTGGCCACCACCGTGAGCGTCCTAGTATTGATGGCGCTTTATCTTCTGCTGCCGAGGCTCCTCTAGTCTTCCTCGGCCTGCCCACCCTTCTTGTCGCGGAGACGCCTGCCGTGGAACAGGTACTGGTTGGCGTAACCGGCGTAGCGGCCGAAGTATTCCTGCGCCCACGGGAGCAGCATTCGGTTAGTGGGGGTCTTCTGACCAGGGAAGTACCAGTCTGCGAGGGCTCGGCGAACCCACACGTCGATGGGGAAGGCTTCAAGTTTCTCCAGGGACATCAGCGCAATGCAGTCGGCGATCTTGTCGCCGATGCCCTTGAGCGACATCAGCTCCGACTTGGTCTCCTCGTAGGGGGCGGAGGTGAGGTGCTGCAGGTCGAGTCGACCTTCCAGCACTGCGACCGCCGCCTTGTAGACGTAGGGAGCACGAAAGCCTAGCTTCAAGCGGCGCAGCTCGGCTTCCCCCGCCTCTGCCAGGTCCGCTGGAGTGGGAAAGGTGTTGCGCTCTATCGTCGAGGCGCCACCTCCCATTGATTC